GGTAAATCAATACATTATTATGCATTTATATATGTTTTAATATTTTAAACTGGGAACTGCATTATTTCAGAGATAGGTATAATGTATAAAATATATCATGTTTATTCAGCTGATTAGAAAAGATAAAATAAAATAAAATAAATAATTTACAAGGACAGCAAAAAGCGAAAAACCTGGTCTCTTCAATAATAATTTGTGGTTTGATTATGTTTTTCCTATACAAGACTCGCGAGGTATCGCCATCACGATTATTCTAAAGGTATCCGAAAAAGGATATCTATCGGTCGGAATTCTACAGATGACGGTATACTACCAAAAAGTCCGAGGTAAAAATTCCTAGAAAAAAAAGTCCAATACACATAATTATTAATTAGGTAAAACTGTAAAAGGAAAAATATGATGTGATGCACAATCTAACTTCCAATTAGTATTTATATAAATTGCAACTAAATTATTTAAATAACAAAATGAATAAATTATCTTGTAGGTACCTACTAATGTCGGCAAAATATTCTCAAAATATATCGGTTAAAATCAAAAAATATATTATAAATGGCAAATTAATTTTTTTAAATATTGTTATACATACGTAAAAATTGGAATTTTTTAAGTTATAAAGTTTATAAAGTTAACTAAATAGATAATACTATTAATACTTAATTAAACTGAGAAATCATAATTATATGTATATTATGTATATGATGGTAATGATACTACAAGTATCTATAATATTATAATCATTCAATTTCTTTTAAAACTTATTATTTTAAATATTGTTACAAATATGAAATATATACGAAATTTTAGGATTAGGAATTTTTTACCGCGATTCCAGATGACAAAGCCACCCTAGAAATATTTCTCGGGAGGGAGGCAACAAAAAATATTTTATCTCTCGTATATATATATAACGTATTAACGTGTATCATCTAAAATTGGGGGGGGGGGGCTTACCTTGTCCCATAATTGCCATTTACCCCCCAAAGCAGGCTTTGGCAGATGACAGATATTTGCATAGATAACAGTGATTCTACATGATATTGTATTTATGCAATATTTACTTTTTATTTTTATTTAATTTTACTAACTTATACTTATCAAAATATTACCTAAACGGTTTGAAAATTAAATATTTAAATTGATATTGTGCAGCGTACAACTACGTATTGTAGTGGCGTACTGGCGTATCTATAGTATCTATAGTTTATACACATGGGCACGCGGTTCGTTTTATTTAATTGTTAACATATATGAACTTCTACCATATATATTTTCTAACCATTATACACCATACCATTTTATACGAAATGGGTATATAACCCACAAAATGTTTACTAAAGGATTATTTATATAAGACTGAAAGCTGAAAAAATCGGTAATTTTTAAACATTATTTATAATACGTCGTTTGTTAATTTACCACAATACCAAGGTAGGTAACTCGCTGCCAGATTTGCAGCGATTTGTGCTGATATAATATAGGTACCTATTTATTAAATAGAAAAAGGATAGAAAAACACGAAGACTTGACGATGGCACTATATCGGGCATTCGGACCATCGGAAATAAATAAAAAAATATGATTTTAGACGAGTAAAGATTTTGTACTATACTAAAAACAGTGAAAACCTCATGATTCAATAAGTATTTTACATCTAATAATTTGATGAAATCACATTGTCCATATTGTATTAAAATGGCAAATATTCACAAGCCACATCTGACCAAAATTGCAAATTATTTTGTAGGTAAAAATGTATAGAATGGTGTATTTAAAAATAAATATTCTTAAAGCCTGAAAATATAATACAATATTATAATTACAACTTACAAGTAAGTGTATTCGGTATTTTTTTATTAATTTAAGACATTACAATGTCATAATAGTAATGTTTGATAGATAAGCTAAAATGTCATTTTTGTAAACATGAATGCAATTAATGTTATGCCACTTTATTCTGGCCTGAGAAAATGTTAAGTAAAAGTTGTACATATCTATTGTTGACTCTTGTTAATTGTTATTTAGGTAGTTCAAAATTATTTTCTTTAATCGTGTAGCCAGTAAATTATATTGTAGTTTGTAATAAACAATATTATATTAATATAATATTTGTAGAGTACTTTATTATGATAAAACCCTTACCAATCAGTCACCGAGGTTCGAAACTACCGTCGAGGTAGGTCATCGTTTCGGCAAAGCATGATTTCCGGATTGCTTAAGTTTTACATTTTTAGAAACACGTCGTTCATAAACAATTGTATCTATGTTTTCTGTAATACTTATTGTATTGCTGTAAAAATATTATCTTATACTAAAAGTAAAATAATAATAATCGTTGCTGATCGCCACTCAAAATCTAAAACTATATTATGGAATATCTGTGAAAGACCATTTAAAAAATGGAAATTGTCATCAATCGATATAAATTATACAATCGCGATATATATTATTGTCAGCCAATCGGAAGTCGGCAGTTGGCAGTCTTCTGTGTCCGTGTAAGTCTGTCTAATGTCGGTTAAAGCCGGATTCACTGTATAGTGTTTTGTGCCGTGGGTGGCCGTGATAAGTACTGATAACTATAATAATATGGTTACAACTGGTAACTATATTGGTTTAAAAGTAGAGCTGTAGCCTGTAGTCGATTCTTGGTATTCTCGGTTGCAACTTTGTTATTACATGATGTCATGATACCAAGAAAGTAATGTCTAATCACAGAGGGATTTGAACGACACACGACGCAGCAGGCTGTGAATGCGCCTTAACACCGCCCAGGCGGTACCAAGCGCGACTGCAGTGTAGCACAGGAGTGTCATTTCAACTTTTTTATTAATGGTGTAAAAATCTTTGCAGGCTATTTCCTTGGCCGGGCCACAGGCGCCTTTTTTTTGGGGGGGGGAGTTAAGTGAGGACAAAAACTATAGGACATTTGTATAATTTATTTAATATAATGTCACTTTTATTATTTATACGATTTCTTACTATCACAATATAACAAGTAGATAATGTTATAAAGTCCCAACAAACTATTGCCGATGGTCATAGGTTAGGAGTAGGTATCTCGGACGGAACAGCTCGGGCCTCGGATTAAATAATAACATGTGTAAAAACGGCTAAGTTTCTCGCTGGACTACAGTCTAAAAGCATAATTATTAATATTATATTATTGTTCGGTGCTATACAAGCCGAGTAGCTATTTTCCAAGACGTGTCTGGGCCAACATTTTTAATATTGCATTATTGCCCAGTCTCATAATCTATGCACTTTTGGGCTTTTGCTATTATTATTGAGAGCTGGCCGCCACACACTCATCCTTACGAATTATGGTTCACCTATATGAAGATCGACTTCCGCAAAAAAGTTTTTTTTATTATTGCGAGTACTTGTAGATCTGTAATTATGTACTAACAAACATACCTGTACCTGTACAAGTAATACAATTAAAATATAATAACGAATAAATAATAATGAATAGTGTTTTAAAATTAATTGCTTAAGTCTTTAAGTTCAAATTAAATGTTTTGTTGATCTGGCCATTGTTGAAGTGTGACATTGCATTTCGTTGACCAATTTTGTAGGTCGTAATCTGGTGAATAGTTACTCACTGCCAGTCGATAATTCTCTGCTCCAAAGGGTCATAATCGAAGAGTATATCTCGGTACTCAGTATTAATAATTTTCATGTGAGAAAATGCTGTTTCACACAAATATGTAGATCAAAAATTAATATGCAACTACAAATCTACATCCCTCAAACACTGATATTTTTCTTCACTCAGTAGATTCCAAAAATTGTTTTCAGAACATCGGGGTTTGAGGAAGATATCAGATTATTGTAATTTGCATAGCCTCAGATTCAATTCTTTATAAAGTTCATGAAAAATAAATTGCTCATTTGCGTAAAAATATTTTCAATTATTGTAAGCTTCAGAATTTCAGATAGAGGAAAAGGCAATAGAAGACATCATGAATGTGATGATCGGCTGTAAATTTTCGAACATTTTTAAATCGCCTCACTCTAAGAGTACACTGATTTTCATTTGGGATGAACTGAGAACTTAGTGCCCTCGACTTATACCAAATATTATATTATTTACTATAATACCACAGACTAACCAGTAACCCACTAGTAGTCAACCGTCGTCACTCTCGAGGCCGTATAGCTTTGCCCGCTGCCAATATTGTCACCGCATTCTGCGAGACCGCTGTAGAGGTGGCCTGCAGTGATCATATTATCATAGGCTTTACCAACATCATTTCATTCATTTGCAACCACTCACCATGCTTTGTTTGATGTATCGTTTTTCTGCATTTGTAATAATGTCTGGAAATTCTGTATTTTTGCCACATTGAGCAATTTTTTTCACAATATTTATCATGTCTTGTTTTTTGCCATTTTGTGCACATTTTATCATATTATCACAGATTACATTGATTGTTTATTCTTTAATATAACCTGTGATATTATAACTTAGATCATATACACTGGATAGAGCTATAGCGTATATCACGCGTAGTCCGTGTTTGAAGCAGACCTGTTCATGCCCGAAGTACTTATTTCGCATGCGTGAGAAATGAAATAGATCGCGCGGGACGGGGAAGGAACAATGTGTTATAGTGATAAAGACGATTAGGTACTGAATACTTAGATCATATACTTTGCTCATGCGCAGTGATGACTACGGGCACGTATAGCTGTGCTTCAAGATTTTAAACCATAGCTCTATCCAGTGTATATGATCTAAGTATTATAAGAATTTAGAGGTATAGATAATAATATAATAATTGAAATAATCTTCTTTTATTATCTATGATTAAGAACCCTTTAACTCCTTTTAAGAAATACATAGGCAACTAAATATGTAGCATTGTGTTTATCATCACCGGGTCGATCCGTGGTTTACCCAGAGACATAAACATTTATATATTATGTATTATTATGTCTATGGGTTTACCAGTTACCACCTTATCAGAAAGTTATCACTTGAACCTGATAACTGATAAGCGTCAAATTAACGGAGAACTGGAGTTCGCCGTTCGGATTTTCGGAACCACGACAGTTATCTTGTATTTTTTCGTCGGATTTATTTACGATTTTCATTCTTGATTTTTGACAATTTAGTATTCACACTTATACCACATGTAGTGAGCATTGATTAAATATGACAAAGTTCACACTTCAATACTTCACAGACAATCTTAAGTTTAAAAACTATGAAGCCGATTATCCAATAGAATACAAAGTAGACACGTAGTTAAAATCTATTCAATTTCAAATCGAATTACTAATAAATCAATTCCAAATACGTACCCACATAATACAAAATTCTGTTGAGCGGAGTGAATTGTGAATCGTTCTATTTATAATTCCATTGCCCAGTTGGCGGTATTCATTGCGTAAATAATTAATAATTTTGATGGTACTATATTTTAATTCGTACCCACACTAAAAATTTAAAAAAATATTTTTATCCAACTCATTTATTTACTTAAGATAAATGTGGACATGTAACATTTTGGTTACTGATAAACTATAATGAAGAAAAATTTTTTGAAAAGTAGCGTTGAAAACGCATCACTCAACATACTCTTGCAAGTTAGTTTACATAATATTATGTCCTTTCATTTAACATTTAAAATACTATTCACTGTTATAATATTGGTTATATTTTAATAATTTAAGGTTGCATTTCGATGCCTAACATTTGTGATAAATGCTTTTGTCTTGCGACACGTCTCTCAAAATGAATTGGGAGTTACAAATGTCCGTTTATTGTTACTTGAATCGACAATTTTATTTTTGAGCAGAGAAGCATTTCGCCGTGCTTGTTTAACAGATACCTTGCATCACAATTGGCTCAAGGTCATCAATCTCATTTGGTTCTCGTATGGTGTTACTGTTACCTGCCTTTCTTTAAAAATTTGAATAATATACATATATTTTGTATTCTTTTTAGTGTACCATTATGTGCAGTTATTTGTGGAATATGCGGTTATATTTGGCTTCGATTGTTAAGCCAACCTGACATTACTGTTACTTCTTATTATGAATTTGGTGTATGGTCAATTCTCACAAGTTGTATCATTGAACTATGCTGCGAACAGTTATATATTGTAGCTCAAGCATTCTTATTTGTCAAGTTGCAGGTAATTAAAAAAATTTTTTTTGTATATTATACATATTATACAGGGTATAAAAAAAAGGTCCCTTTGAGCTATAATGCATACAATGGGTTCTTTTTCTTTTTATTTGTAAATAAAACGGAACAGATTTTAGGTTGTGTTAGAAATAATAAACATTGCTGTTCGTACAATTGTTTACACTACGATGGTGTTGTATTGGAATGGTCAAAATGCTGTACTAGCATTTTCATTTGCACAACTTGCATCAGTCATTGCATACACAATGTCATTTTACATATACTTTTGGTATTATACAAAAAAAAACAAAAAAGATTTTCCATTCAAAACCATGTGGGAATTTTTCCCAAATTTTACTGGAAAAGTAAGTGTGTATACATTCAACTAAATGTCCAAATCAACATTTGATAGTAAAGTAAAAATTGAATTTTAGAAATTGTCGGAATGTATGGATTTTTCTCTACTTATGTTGTTGTGGAGTTTCTTGAAACAAGGATTTATGAAACAACTATTGACTGATGGTGAACGTTATGTAATGACATTTTTTAATACATTAAAATTTGATCAACAAGGCGTGTACGATGTTGTCAATAATTTGGGATCATTAGCTGCTAGGTTTTTATTCAAACCTGTAGAGACAGCGGCATACTTCTATTTTAGTCAACTTGTTCAAAGAGAAGTGCCAATCCAAACGCAAATAAAACAGGTACACAGTAATGTGATGAATGACTTATGGTATGCAAATGTCATAATCACAATGTCTTAGGATTCTAACCGCATAAAAGAAGCAGCTAGTGTTCTGGAATGTCTGTTACGTGTCAATAGCTCTATTGGTTTAGTTGCACTATCTTTTGGACAAGCATATGCAAAACTAGCATTATTTCTCTATGGTGGATCAACGTTAGTTACTGGAATTGGACCAGTTCTGTTACAAATGCATTGTTTGGCCATTCTATTTTTGGCCGTTAATGGCATCACTGAATGCTATGCGTCAGCTACCATGAACGTTTCCGAATTAAACAAGTTTGTTTGCAATTTGTCTTATAAATCTTAAATATTTATAATTTTAATATTTTTTTTGTTTTAAACTTTAGATACAATTTGGAAATGATTATATTGTCTGTGATATTTTTGTTTATTTCTCTGTTATTTTCTACACTTTTTGGCGGAATTGGTTTTATCTTTGCAAATTGCTGTAATTTCACATTTAGAATCATTCAATGGTAAAAAAAAATATTTCATAGTTATACAGGTTTAGTATTAATCATATATGACTTTTCTAGTGGTCGTTACATTCTATCTCAATATAAAGGTACAACTTATAATCCACTCAATGGATTAAGGCCAAAAAAATCATTTATTTGTTGTTTAATGCTGTCAACTATTGTTACAATGTATTCTGAGGTAAGCATAATTTTATTGATTAGGAGCCGAAATAAATTTGTTATAGGTACAGGTATATATTTTTCTTACTTATGAAATATTTTTAATATTATCTTAAGTAAAGACTTATTGTTTGAAGATCTTAAATAAATAAAACTGAATTACATTTTTTCATTATGAAAGAATTTTTTTTTATAATGTATGTACTAATAAGATTATTTTTTTATTACTTTTTTCAGGCAAAATATTATGAAGAAAACAAACTTACACATGTTATAATAGGAGGTGCAATGTTTCTACTAACAACATTAGTTTGGTTGTATGAAGAAATGTCCACGTTTAGGTTTTTAACTAAAGTCTATTGCTCAAAGCACAATTAAACTACTTCCCAAAAAGTTTTTACAATGTTAAAAACCTTTTTTAAATTATTATTTTCATTTTTTAAACTGACATTTCAGGATAAATTAAAACTCAAAAGTACACTTGTATTAATTTTAAAATTTGTTCACATTTCTAATATAATTATTCATAGTTAAGTAGAAGATACTTTCAAATTGTTTTTAAATATTGTTAGTAAAAATATATAACCCAACCATATGAAGTTTATTTTTTAGATGTTAATTTTGATTAGCTAATAATCAATGTTTTTGAGTATAAGGGATAAACAATCATTAATTTATATAATATTATATAATATGAGATTATAGAATGTCTCATATTTCTGTTACCAATGGCCATAGGCGGAGATCCTGTGAAATATTGAGGGGGCTCAAATAGTTGGTAGCAAACAAACCCGTGGGGGCAAAGCCCCCACACCCCCAACACTTTTTTTATATTTAATAACTCATTAAAATGATTACATTTCTCATTATTATACCTACTAATTAGAATACTCACAAAAAATAAAAAATGAATAAAATACAATTGCCATTTTTAACTTAATTGTATTAACCTATTACACTTTTTTTCAAACATATTTAAAATAGTGTCATTTAGTAACGATATAGTTTTATCTTTTTCAATGTATAAGATTGATAGTTCATTAAATTTTTTTATTGTATTGATGTCCTTAACCAAGTTTTAATTTTCCTCATAGCAGAAAAACTTCTTTCGCATGTATGCACTAATTGGCAATGTTAAAGCTAGTTGGAGCATTTTACAAAAATTAGGAAAGACTTGATGTGAAATATTTTTTTTTAAATCTTCAATATCGCCTATTTCAGGTTCAACTAGATAGTTCTTAGCAACCATCATTTCTGACTTTAGACTTAGTTGACAAATATTCAAAACCTGTAAATCCTATAGAGTAAACATTTTATTTATAATTTTATATATTAATTTAGTACCTACTGAATATTTATAAAATAATATACAAAATACCTTATAATGATCAATGAACTGAGTACTTCCATCATAATTTAATTTAATAAATTCATCAACACCAACAGCATAGGACAAGTTTTCATTGGAAAACCGTTTTTTTAAATTTACCATTACAGAGTCAAGTACTTTAAAATATATATTTATTCTAAAATAATCTTTAGCTAAAATAGTTTCTATATCCACTGACTCAGAAGTAGATATACCTAGTATGATGTTCAGCGTTTAGTACGTTTATGTGTGATACTAGTCCTTATTAATTATTAAACATAGTTTTTGGATCCAAACAAAAACAAATTTACTTATAAATTTGATGTAAAATTCTTATTTTTTACAGTTTAGGTATTTATTTAATAATAATAATAAATTATCCCTAAAACATTCAGTAATCTGTAAAGTATGTCTTTGTTTCTTACATTTTTAGGGGGGCTTGAACTTAAAATTATTTTTTTTTGGGGGGGGGGAAGTCCCCGTAAGCCCCCCGATCACCGCCTATGCCAATAGCCACCCCATGGTTATATAAACAAAAAAAAAAATGATTTTTGTGAGTCAAAACAAAATGCACGTGTGAGCCATCTATGTGAACCACCTACAGGAGTTGAAAAACGTTGCTGTAAATACTGTAGTCTCTAAAAAAAAAAAATGTGCTAATTGGTTCAGTAGTTTCCAAGTCTAATTCCTCACATAAACGTACATTCATTTGTATACATGTATTTTTATAATTTATGTAAACTCGGTTACTTGTACATTCTTTCACATATATTTTTATAATTTTATACACTTGGTTATTTCCTATAATCATTGTTGATTTGTTTATTTTCTGAAGTTACTCTCAATTCAATAAATTATATTATTTTTTTGACAAACATCTTAATCTGTTGAAGCAATAACTCCAAATTTATAAATTACTTGCTGGCTATACATATTTGACGGTTTAAGAATAATACTGTTGAAGTTTTTCTAGAACATTTCCAAATATTAAAATGAATTTTGTTCATGTATAAATTAACAATTATCAATAAGATTACATGTACAACAGCATCTGGAAATAGTTGTGGACGTATGCAGATTCCGGAATGTTTGTTATATATAGTATTCGATTTGCCTTTAAGGGGCTTGATTTCCTGGACATTAACCTGTGTTGAAGATTCTTTTATCTCATAATCTAAATTGTGCTCTTCTTCTATTAGTTCTGTGTCACTTGAAAATTTATATTCTTCAGACATAAAACTTTCTTGTTCACTTTCGTACTTATCAAATTTTGCTATTGGTGCTTCTATATTAGTTACTTTCAGAACCTCTTCTTTGAATAACGATTTACCATAATTTGGAAAATCTTGAGCAGTATTTATATAGATACAAGGCATATCGGTGTAAATATCCAACACGCGGCCACTTTGTTTATGTACTAAACTGAATAAAATAATGTTTAATGCAACAAACAAGTATTTAGAGCGGCGCAATTGCATTTATATTTACCTGGCTGCTAAATTAAATGCTTTTCGATCTTTTCCTTTGTACAATTTGAACGTATGATTGTATCCGAAACCAGGAACTAGAGGAAAAGCTTTTTTTAATAATCTTGGAACACGCAAATCAAGACATGTGTGTTGTACATTTTTAATCAAACCAACAGGTCTTCGTTCTGGTACTTTTATTGCTACGTATTCTTCAGCATTGACCATTATTGAATGATTCATGAGTTGAGACTCTCCAGTGTTCTATAATATGTTATAGTTCCATATTATTATTTTGATAATATTAAACCAGAAATAATATTTAGTTTTTTATTGTTCTTACTTGTCCAGCTAAATTGAAGAACATATTCGAGGCCATATTTACTGGAGTTGATTTTGATGTCATACCTACATAGTTTACAACCAATTCATTTTTGCAAGTCAACCGAAATGTTGTCCGGGCTAGAAATGTTCCTGGATAGCCTTCTTCACCATCTTTACTTGAATACGTTAATACCAGTTCACCATCTGCCACATAACCATCCCACATGACCTTATCAAATCCTTTTTCACCACCATTGAAGTGATGACCATCACGATTTTTGATAAGTTCATAAATTTCACCTTTGTCATTTTCAAGACGACCATTGCTAATATAATCTGTTACTCTGCCTAATGTACCACCAATGGAGTGTGTATTCTGTAACCTATAGTCTATTCAACACATCGACATAAAATGATGACTAAGTTTCACATATAACACTACTGACCTTCAATTGAGTCAAAACCAAGTAAAACATCTTCTAGTTCTCCCAGTGCATTTGGTACCCAGCATGAAATAACAGTAGCACCATAATTAATTATTTCAATAACAACTCTTTGTTCATTCTTTAAAGTATATTTAATCACTCTGACGTTTTGACCATTATCGTCCTTTATAGAACACAAAGTTTAATACTGGACTATATATTTGAAATAAATAGTTACTTTTATGCATCCATAGTTGTCTTCAATGATGAGATTAGTATCATTAACACTTTTTGGCTGTTCTTCTGTTACATAAGTTAAATCATTCAATACATCAGCACTAATTGGATTTAACAACATAGTCTCAGAGGAAAGTTTTTTAGGGCTATCCATTATTAAGCTAAAAATATTTTATTAAGTCTATTATGTGCATAACAACATGTAACTTAAAAATAAATATTATAAATTATTCAGTTGTTTACTATTTAAATTTATAAGGCCAATAAAAAAAAAAAAAAAGAAAGTATAATAACACTAGAATAACAACACAAGTTATTTACATTTTCATATAAAAAAAAATAAGAAATATTTAAGTTAAAATTTTATAGTTTAGTACATTAGGTAAGTTATCATATTTTATTCGCTGTCACTTGTGTAGTCTAACTTTTGTATATCGTTAGACAAACTATCATCTTCTGATTCTTCGTCGTACTCGGTTTCATAATCTTCTAATTCTTTTTCGTGTTCATTGACAGATTCTGTAGAAACATGGGCTGATGTTTCCATAAATTCAGCAAATCTAGAATATTGTTGAAAATATGTATCTTTATATCAATTGATTTACTGATTTGTAATTACTTTTTAGGATCCTGTAACCTGTTCACAACTTTCCATGCATCACAGTTTGGACTTTTACAGTACTTTCGCAGTTCTTCAAGGGCTTTTGGTGTTTCAATCAAAGCTTGTTGTATATACTCATCTTCGGATAATAATCGGGGTTTTGGTTTACGTTTAGGTAATAATCTATAACATAAGTAGTAATTTATTTACAAACTTTTAATATTAGCAGCAATAATAATTGTTAACTTACCCAAAAGGCAGTGAAAACTTAGTGTAGTAGAGTATAATGCACAAAATATCCACTAAAACCATAGCTTCTAAGTGAAAGCTGCATAATGTAACCAAACCCAAACCAATTAACTAAAATAAATAGAAAAATCATAGTAATATAAATAAATGTTAATGATTTTCAATTTTTATAAAATAATATAACAGATTAACAGTAAAATTTTCGGCTGGCAATCTAAAAAAATAATTGAAAATGTTTATAAATAGCCTAGTAGATGTATAAATATTTTAAAAATTATAATGTAACTAAAAGTAGAGTATATCAAGTTTTTAAACATAAGATTTTCAAATTGTTTTCATGGGGGCCTTGTAAATGTGTGCGTATTTAGAGATGATTAGTGTGTGTGCCTGTGTTTAAAAGAGATAGTGGAGCATTCTCGCACCGCATGTACATGTCATCTACTCGGTATTGCACTAGTAAATGGTTTACAATTTATGCTCATTTGTATGCATTTATTGTCCATTTTACCGATCGACCTAAAGTTATAAATTATAATATTTTAGCAAACTGATCTGAATTCGTTATAATGTCTACTTGACATCCGTCAGTCCTTATTTTAAGGTTTCTGAATTAAATACCGAATAATCAACTTTTGGAAATTCCAAAATATGCAATCTAAATTTAGTTGTCGGGGGGTGAAATTTGGAAAAGTAGACTGACTGATCTCAAGTAGACATAATAACAAATTTAAATCAGTTCTAAAAAGTATTATTGTATTACTAGGTTGATAAGTATGATGGACAAAATATTGGTATGTTTTGGCTAAAATAACTGTCTGCCACCGATACCCTTAAACCAAATTGATTTTGTCAAAAAATGGTGTTGTCTCATTGACTAGTTTGATTTGCTACCAGAACCTACATTTGAAAATTAAAATTGAAGTATTTTATTTAGTATAAAAAGTGTCTTTAGGCTCAAAAATAATATTATTAAAAAATACATTATTTCAGAATCAGTTGATTCACCGCTCTACAAAGAATACATAATAGAATATTTTTATAGATGTCTAACTACAAATGATTTACTATAATTTATAATATTTATAATACTTAGCACTATGCTATAAAAAATATATGTAATAATTACCTGTAACGTCCATCTTATGAGGTCGATGGATCTTGGATTTGTTACTGGTCCATATCTATAGCAAACCACAAAACTGGCTAACATAGAGAAAACAATATATCCCAATATATACTTATAATATAACATCAATATCATATTGAGATTCTCAATCAACATCTGAATAGCATAGAGACTTAACATACAACTTGCTCCTAAATATCCCACCATCATTCTTTTCTAAAAAAAAGTAATAACACTATGTTAGATTTATATACTACAGAAATTATAAAGTATACATACCTTAGGAATTAAACGACTGATGAGTAATATTATAATCACAAACGATGCAGTTACGCCTACTGTAATTCCACATAAGTAGTAAAACAATGAATTATGACTTAAACGAGCAGAATACCCAAATAGAAAAATACCAACTATAAACATTGCCAGTCTCTTAATATCTAATGCTGTAAGAATACAAATGCATATTCATGGTTAATGTTTGCTATCATATTATAATACTAATACCTAGCTAATTAATACATTTAAATAAAATACTTTATACCAATAGAGTGAATTTTAATTTTAAAATCTGCAACTGTTTTAATACTAAAACAAGATGGTTGAAATGGATCCAATTTGAAATCTTTCCGTTTCCAAACATAGGATATTATTTTATTCAAAGATAATATAGCCTCATCAGATAGCATTTGTTCTTCAACTAAATGCTGATTTGCTGCTTGGTATACAATGAAGTCATCTGTTTTTTCAATTATTAAATCGACCTACACAATAAATAATATATTTAATATTAATTCATAATTTTTCAATAAATAATTTAATATATTGTACTTACCTTAACAGTTTGAAAAACATTAAGTACACTTTTATCGTTTCCTGCATAACAATATATTGGAGGTAATGGGTATTTTCTTTCAAACAGAGAACAACAATTTATTGTATCCTCTGCATTGACTGAATATACTAAACCTGCATAAATATTGTTTAAATAATTGATTTGAATGTAATAAATTAGTATATAATTATATTTATCATCATAAGTCAAGTTTTAAGTTTCTAAATATGTATATTTATCAGTGTTGGGTAAGTTACTTTTTAAAAGTAACTAAGTTACGTTACAAGTTACAAAATAAAATAGGTAACTAGATTACTTGATAGTTACTCGAGTACAAAAGTAATGCATCACGTTACATTTTATACTCAAAAGTAACTAGTTACAATGACGTTACTCTAGTGTTATTTAAGTTTCATAAAAAAAAAGTCTTTTTTAAATCAATCTTTTTTTATATTTATTTCATACAATAATGTATTTTCAAAATTTTTATCAGTTATTCTAGCTTGTTTTTTCGTACAAATGTCTCCAGCTACACTAAAGAGCCTTTCAACAAAAGCTGAAGAAGGGAAGTGCCGTATTAAACTTTACAAACATTTGTTTCATCATAGGTAAACCATTTAAAATTTTTAAATCGCCTGTATAAACTGTATTATAATAGCGCTCCACTTTACCATAGGGTTGATCAGAAACTAGGTTAAAATCAGTTAAATTGAAAATAATATTAACACAAAATCATATATTTATAAAACTATATTAGATTATACTGTGAAAATTTTGTAATTACATAAATACCTACTTAAATTATTAATATAATTACATTTTCTGATGCGGATACGAGGGGAAGGACTGTCCCGTGAAATAGCACCACGATAGTATCCCAGCCCAGAAAAAAATTTAATTTATAATGTAATGCGTTCTTTTGCTAAGTTACTTCTAAATAATTAACGTAGTTACTCTTGCGTTACCCAAAAATAATAATAACAAAGTTACCATAACGTTACTGAAAAATGTAACTACGTTACAGTAACGAGTAACGCACGTTACGTTACTACCCAACACTGATATTTATTATAAGTTTGTTTTTATTTAAATACAGAAAATGACGTTTGTCACTTAATGTAAGGCAAATGAGTTTGGGTATACACTTTTTTCCCCACAGTGAAGTTAATCTTATGAAAAGTCAATGGTTTTTTTTCATTAATATTTCAGTACACAATAAACAAAATGTATGATAATCAAAAATAACTTTTAAAAATGTAATATAGTTTTTATTATGATTTTTGAAATAAAAAATATATAATCATCCAGGTATAGTAGGTATAATGATCACATAGAACACATATTACTCACATAATTTGATATTTTTTTAAATATTTTCATAAATAGACGGATTCTTTAATTCAAAGGGTATGAATTAGGGGCTTATTACGGCTTAGCTCCCCCCCCCCCTTCACACAAAACAATTTATCGACTAAAAACAGTAAACTTGCAAATCATGAAACTAATTTTAATTATTTTTTTTGTAACTCCAAAACTAATGGTCTAGACTTGAAATTTCAACACTTATTGATGTCTTTAAAAATATTGAACACAAATATTAAAGGAATATAAAAATAATTTTTTGAACAATTATTTATGAAACTTAAAACATAGATAGAGAACTACACTCTGTCTTAAACGAGAATAATCAGTTGGCATCTCCCACCCACTTGACGGTGTTAGCGGGTTCCATGGTTATTGACATGCCAAAAACATCATTTCCAATGCACAACAAGTGATTGTTCTCTTTTGAGACACAGTATGTATGGTGAAAAGACTGTTTTTAGAATTGCATTGAATTTTAAATAGATTGAACTTTTGAGATTCTAGTACATGTACAGTTTGAAAGACACCATGATGTAAGGAAGAAGGTAGTTTAAAAAATGTAATGTTCTACTTCCGTAAACTATTTTATATTTAATTCTGTTTAGCCCAGTCATTTTTGTTAACATAATAAAAAGTAAAATCATGTATGGCAAGACATATAAGGATGTAGGTGCAAGGCCCCATGGATTTCTTTGCTACTGAATACATTACTGCTTTTATATTTAACAGGGTTTTCGTCTATAATTATTCCAGAACTTTGGTAAGAAGAATTTGAATTGTTCAAAGGGTAAAATTCAAGGTATAGATAACGACGTAGTATTATATAATAGGGAAACTAAAACCGGTTAATGCTGAAATAACACAAAATTGCTAGAAAAATAGACCAAAATTACGGAAGGAATACATAAATAATTTGATTTATAAAGATGAAACTTTTTAGGCACATTTTTAGTTTTTTCATATGCCGTTTATAAAGGTATTCTGTTTCTATTAACTACTGTATTTGATTACATTTTATTAAAAATCAAAAAAACGATTTAAGTAGGTATTAACTTTGGCTTTGGGTGTAGATAGCTACAGCCGTTATCTAGTGATACTAAAAAATATAGATAAAATAAATTAAAATCATTTGCAATGCAAATATATTATGCAAAGATTATTATATAATACTCTGTTGAAGTTATAAAAGTACATACATTAAATTATAAATCAATATACTTACTGTTCGGTTGTGAGTGAATTAAAGATACGAATGTGAGAAATAAAAAGACAGTCTTAAATGTCGTCATTTTAAAATATACTGTAGTTACACACGTTTCAGATGGTAAAAATGTAATAAATAATAATATTCTTGTCAATTGCCACTTAACAGATAGAAAAGAATCGATAGTTACAAGACGCCATAAAGTATAAATAGCCCAATAAAAATAGTAACATTGTTACAACAATTTGATTTTATTTTTATCATGACAAAATGAAAAAATTGTATGATCCTTATTATTTTACTTTTTACTTTTTACTCATTATTTGTTCTTAAATAACGAACTTTAATATTTAAAACCATAACCTATATTACAATTTCATGGAATAAATTATGCCTTATCAAGATTTGTGTACTTGATAAATGATAGAATATGATGTATGATAATTGATAATAATAATTTCTGTGAAATTCAAAATTCAAATTCTAGTGTTCTAGTATTGTAATTCTTCATATTTTGTTATGTTAACTTTGTTAAAATGCCAGTGGATTTACATAGGCTCATCCAAGGATGGTTGGAATTAGAAAGCGATCCTGGTTTGTTTACTTTGCTTTTAGAAGATTTTGGAGTGAAAGGAGTTCAGTTAGAAGAAATTTATGACCTTCAGAAACCATTGGACAGTCCAGTTTATGGTTTTATATTTTTGTTCCGATGGATTGAAGAACGTCGTAGCCGCAGAAAAATTGTTGACCAAACAGACATATTTGTCAAAGATGACGATGCTATTAACAGTATATTTTTTGCACAACAAATGATACCGAATAGTTGTGCTACTCATGCCCTGTTGTCTATTTTGCTAAACTGTTCGGATATACATCTAGGTGAGACATTGGGACATCTTAAGGAACATACTCGGGGTATGAATCCTGAAAATAAAGGATGGGCTATTGGAAACACTCCTGAATTAGCACGAGCACATAATTCACATGCTATGCCAAAAAGTAGACCACGGATGGATAAAACACCAGGGTTAACAACTGGACGGTTCACTGGTGAGGCATATCACTTTGTCAGTTATGTGCCCATAAATGGTCATTTATATGAATTGGATGGATTGAAACCATATCCTATGGACCATGGACCTTGGGCTGAAGATGAAGACTGGACTGAAAAGTTTAGAAGAGTGATAAGTGATCGACTTGGAGCAGCAGCTGAATATAGTGATATACGATTCAATCTGATGGCGGTTGTTCCAGACAAACGATTAGCTATTAGCCACAAATTAAATATGCTCAAAACAAATAGACAAATTGTATTAGAAGCTTTACAACAACTTGTACTTGTAGATGACTTTGAAAAAAAAAGAAAAATCAATGACAATGATCAATCGCCAAGTAAATGTGTAAAAAAAGACATTTCACCCATTCCTGGCACATCAAAAGACTATAATGAAGAAAAGGTGATATGATTTATTTCAATCTTCAAAAAAAAAATAAAAATGTTATACCCTGTTAGTATGTATAATTTAATTTACACATACAGAATAATTTATTTGTTGATGTTTGTGTCAATTAAATTATCATAAAAATGCATGATACATGGTAATTACTATCTGAAATTCATCCTTCGGAGTGACTTATTTTTTTCAAAAAATTAACAGTCATATTAAATCAAACTGAAAAATTTATATTTTATTGCCAGTATAATATACCTATTGTATATTTGTATCAATATAATTTGTATAATAATAAATTTGTATGATATAACTTTATAACAGAAGTAAAACAAAGAAAGACAATACCTACCATACATTTATAAACATAAAAATTATTATGCGGTAAGTTGAACCCATTAATAAAATTTTAATACAGTATCTCAATCAAATTTTACCTCAAATGCTAAATTTCCTTAAGATACCTAACGCTACTGAAACAAAAATTGCCATCAAAATTAATTATTCAATATGTTGTTAAATCAGCTTGTTTTCTTCATGCAAAATCTAAAATAATGTTAAAATTATATTTTAAAGTTATTTTATATAAATATTTTTACTTCCTCACCTAATATTACGCTTTTATAATTTTTCAGACGTGTCCAGAATCAGATAATATTGTAGTAATCCGAGTACAATCTTCAAGTGGTGGAGGAGAAGGCGATGGAAATCCAAAAGACATAAAAAGTGTATGTCTAGAAGCAGGGGCTATGCCTAAGGGATGGGAAACACCTTCAAGTCATTCTTCAGATAAAGAAGATAATAATGATCAACAATTGGAAAATAATATTAAATCCAACCATACATTTTCTCCTAAAGACTTATTGGCTCTAGTAAAAAATTTAGAACTTGAAATAAACATGAGTGAAGGTAATTTTATTTAAAATAATAAAATATTCACCAAGTTATATATTTGTTTAATATTTTAGGTATCTTACGAGAGGAGAATGAAAAACGTAATAAATATAAAATTGATGATTGTCGACGTACACACAATTATGATCAATTTATATGTACGTTTTTAACTATGTTAGCTCAAAAAGGTATACTACCTGATTTAGTACAACAACATTTGGGAGCACAAAAAAAAAATACTAGTGCTCAGCTTTCCCTTTCTGTACAATCTCAATCTACAAATCAAGCACAGGTGAAATCAAAACCCAATAAAACAAATTCAAAAAGTAATACTACGTCAACTACAACAAGGCTCAGGACAAAACGCAAGACAACTTCTAAAAAAGGACGTAAATCATGACAGGTCATTATTATTACTCGAGAGTATTTCACTTGAGTGCTTCGTGTATTGTTGGTGGAAGTTAATCTTTATACCTATTGTAGGTCTTTCGCCGTTTATAGTTGTTATAATACATCACTGCTATTAACATTGTTATCAATCTATAGTTTTTAAATATAATAAGCAATTTATAATATGTTTAGTGGCTTTGTCATTAAACTAAAACATACTAACTTATTTTACATTAAAGTCACAAATAATATATACTTTACCTTAAGAATTTGAGATAAGTAGCTTACCTAAAACTAATATTTGCTGCTTCTTTTGATAAATTTCTATGGGGTTAGTGATGCAATTATAAATGAATCATCAGATTCAGTATGATTGAAACAGTGAAATAAAGATCTCAAAAATCAAATGTTTTGAATGTTTGGTTGTTGCTGTTTGAAGATGTGATATCAAATGTCATAAAGTACCTAGGGTATTTAAATTTTTTTTCCCATAGTAATAGAAATACTAGTATTAAAATTTTTTAATTATTATCAAATGTTTCATATTTTATAACAGTATCCCAAATACTATTACAAATTATCAAAAACATCTGTTTTTATTTAGAAAGTCTATGCCAATATAAAATTATTTTTATTTTATTTTCAATTAATAGATATTTTTTTGTATTTTAAATTCTGAGTGGGAATGAAGAAGATGGTTTTATTTTTGAGAATATTACATTTTAGGACAATAAAGAGGCTTATTGAAAGTTTTTAATTATTTATAAGTAATTTCTTGTGGTTTTGGAAGAATTTATACAATATTTTCATTAAATTTGTCATAAAGGTTTAAAAATAATTTTAATCCTTATAGATGCTTAAAATATGTATTTAAACTGTGAAGTATTGGTTGTAGTAGTTTTGAAGCTTTTCCAATGACAAATAAAACAATTATAAAATGCAAAATTGTCATAAGATCACAAACATAACTAAGTTAACTAAAAAAATATTTACAGTATTAATACAACCATATTATTAATCTAATTAAAATAAGTTACAATATAATGGAAGTATGAAATTCCAGTTTAAATGTAAATCTTTACCTAAATTATATAATTTAAAACAACTCGTATACCTACTCAAATTGTACAAAATCTAAAAGATCTCTTCTCAGAACTATTTTATAAATGCAATAATAATTGTTGTCAGTGATAATCTATTATATTTAATATAATGCCTTACTTGCCTGTCTTTATTATACATAACTCTCCTAAAATAGTGACCATCTAATATGAACCACTTTATAGAACAACTATATCCACTTTATTAAATTATAATTATTTGTTGATTATTACCTCTTATTTTATTTTTCTATTAATTTGTAATAGTCATATAATATATATACATATGTTTATAGTATATATGTATTGTAATTCAATATCTTGACAAAAATTTAAACTTTTATAGTGGTAGGACAAGGAACTGTACAGTTACTTTATCTACTTTGCTTTGCATGATTAAGTTGCCCATCTTTATATTATGCCCTCAAATAAATGCTTATTAATATAAATACTTTTAGATCAGTAGTAAATTAAAATGAACAATTGTTTATACAATTAATGAAACTTATGTAAAAAGCATAAACCAACTAACACTAAAAAAATGCATAAACTGTTTTTTAAGTACAGATTGACAAAAATGTTTAATTTCTCCTTAATTGCATACTGTTTAATCTAACAAGACCCTTTATTTCAATCTCAAAAATAGATTTTAATTATTGAAGTACCGTATTATCTCATTAATCCAGACTTATCAAATAAATACCTCAAAATTAATTAACTGAATTCTGTAAAATATGTAGTCTGTGCAGTAGTCTATAATAAACTTGTAAACGTCTTCTTCCCTATTTCTTCATACTTTTGCACATTATAAACATTTGGAGGATCTGCATGAAATAATTAATAATTATTAGTGAAATTAATGTGAAAGGAAGACGAAAAAAGATCTAAAAGCTTTAAAAATAATTTTTATTGATTCCATATAGTGCAAAGAAAACTTTTTTTTTTAAACTTTATATTAATATGTTGTTAATGTTTTTTTGCTTAATTTATAAAAATATTTTAAAACACAATTTACATAGAAATTATCTTTAATTAAATTAAACCATTTAAAATATTTCTTGTTAATTTTTGTAAAACATTTTAATTTCCTAAAAAAAATATTTTAACAATTAATATCATAAAATTATAATCATGAACATTGAACTTAAAGTCTAATAAAATATTTTTGTTTTTAAAATTCACCTAAATTATTTGCTTTATGTTTTTACAATTTAGATAATGGCCAGAACTGATATTTAACCTAGAGTTCTATTATTATAAGTTATTAGCATTTAATTTAACACAGTTAAAGTCTAAAATCTATGAAAATTCCAAACCTAAATAAACACTATTTCATATATTTTTTTTTGTAGAGACAGTGGCCTTAAGAGGATGTTATCCCCGCATGTGTTGTATCCGTGTTATAAGAGCGTAACATGTCAAATTTTACGTTCAGCTGATCACGTTTAGCTCTGTTAGTTTAAAAATTAGGGCGAATTGACCTCTTATAAAATTAAAGGTAAGATTATTATGGAGGGCATCTCATAGGCTTTTTATTATATTTAAATTTTAAAGAGAGGTATGAGTATTTTAAGATGTACAAATAATTTACAATTTTAAAATACTCATAACTCGTTTTAAAATTAAAATATAATAAAAAGCCTATGAGATGCCCTCCATAATAATCTCAAATTTAGTTTTAATAAGAGGTCAATTCACTCTAATTTTTAAACTGACAGAGCTAAACGTGATCTTCTGAGTGTAAAAAATGGTATCGCCTCAATCATATTACGCATTATATATTTATTATAAATATGCCTAAATTACCAAATTCAATTTTAGATAATATTCTTAAAGCTAGTTTGAAAAATTTCAATTATTCACTATGTGCACTCAACTATGTAGTTTAATATTGTGTTTCTATCATGTATATATGCAGGGCTTCAAAACGTCATTATTATAATATTATTATGGAAAAAACTTTCAAAAAATAAAATTTAAATTTGTTCTATTTTTGGGATGATGATAATATATGGGCATTACCTGATTTTAAAGTCTGTGCATGCCTATGCCCTTCTTAAATGGATCACCTGTATGGCTGTATATTATAAATTTATAAATATATAAAAGTGTAGATCTTCTCTTTTTGCTAACTTTATAAGAACTAACTTGGCAGGTATTTTTATATTTCTTAACATTTTAGTACAATAATTATATCACAAAATTATCCTTAAAAACTAAACAGAATTAAAATCCCAATTAGTACTTTACACATTACATATTTAACTATTTATGATGTCAGGATAAATACATGCAGATCATTTCCAGTTTTATCTTTTATTATTTTTCTTAATATTGGAAATACATAATATAAAATAATTGACAGTAACACGAAAATAACTAGTGTGAGGAAGGGGAACAGAGCACTATGGCAAGGACAAGGGTGACTGATCACATATGGCCATATAGTTCAGAGTAAAGGTTGGAGAGAAAGAAGAGAAATATTGAAAGTACCTACTTATTCAGTCTAGAGGTCTAGAATTTTTTAATGTAAATCAATAATATCTCTGTAAATATTTGTAATTTTTGTTTTGATTTTTCATGTATTTTGATCGTTTACTATACAGGAAAACTCAGTGTTTGTTCCAGAAATAAATTGTTTGGTTGGCAGGTGGATCTGTATGAGGACAATCATTCATAACTATTATTGTTAATATCCAAAAATCTAAATATGGTAAGATTGAAGTATGAACATTATTTAAAATTAGGTAGGTACTTAACAATTATCTAAATTCTCATTTTTAAATTATATAATTCGGTGCCAATTTATGAAATAAGGGATTGGGGAGAAAAATGTACTAATTATGCAAAAACAGCATTGAAAATATTCTGTTTAAAAAAATTACAAATATTTTGAGAGATATAGACTGATTTACTCTACAAGCGTTGTATGTAAAATGTTACAATTAAAAAATACTCATAAATCGCTTAAAAATTAAAAAATAAACCCGACACTCGTAGTATGTGTATTTAAGGGGTTCTCGAGGGCGCAGCCCTTATTTGGAATTTTAGCTCACCAGAAGTTAGGTCCATCTAAATTCGGGTCCACACAGAAATAGCAAAAATAAAATAATATTCTTTTTTTAAAAACAATTTAGATAGTTTCATCTGTGTTGGAAAAGTTGTGTTATTGTTTTATTTTTGGCTACTATGTATGGACCCGGCAAAAAATTAAAATATCGTGGAGCTCCCTCGAAACCACATGAAATGTATGGTGAAGCTTCAGCTCCTTCTACCTAACATATTTAATCACCCTACTCTACGTCTATACAATATCCCCAAAATCATAATCAATACTATGTGACTAACAGCCAACTAAATATCAGTCTGACAGTTTAGGGCTATAATATATGATGAAGTAGAATGTATAGTATTATTCAAAAAATTGTTCCTGAAAAAATATGGACAGAAACAAGTTGAATTCATCAATCGTTTTTCTAGCTTATTATGAAAGTCGATTTTTAATATTAATAAGTATAAATATTAAACATTTTATAAATTAACCGAGGATTTTATGATCATTAAAATATAAAAAAGCAATTCCCGCACAAAGTTCGTTTTGTGTATAACATCTAGACATTATTTACTAAGTTAATAAATTAAAATATTTTTACATAGTTGAATTCGCGGTCTATCTAAATCATATTATACAATTCAATTAAAATGTATGAATTAAAAAGATGAAATAAAAAAATTATGTCTAATTTTTAATACAGTCTGCACGCCATTGCACGTCCAACATTTCATAATTTACGTATGTTGTACTGCACACAATTTAAATCCCTCCCTCAAATAAATAAGTAAACCGAATTTATATATGTAATATATTTATTGATTATTGTATCATATTATATAGTTTATATAAAAAAAATCACTATATATATTTTATATATAAATAATGATTATACATGTATTACTGTTAGTAGGTACTATAACCTAATTACTAATGAGGTAGTAATGTATATCGAACATTAAGAGTAGTTAAGCATTTTATATTAAGTAAATTTGTTTATAAGTTTGTTAATCACAACAGTTTTACGATATGTATTAATTTAATTTCGAAAAAACTAAATAAATATACCTTGAAATTGTAGAAGTAATAATATTCAAAGGTAATTAGTAGGTATTATATAGTTAGTGTATACCTAATATATATAACTAACATTTTTTTATTATTATATTGTAGCCGTATCATTATTTCCATTGCAGGAATGTACATAATAAGTTGTATTATTGTATTTATTTATTTATTCATTTTTTGTGTATAATTTAGTATTAATCATGTTAATCATTAACATTTTAAAAGTTCCTTAATTGATCGTTGTCTTTAAATTGTACTTCGAAGCCCACATCACTGATTATGTGTATTTTCTTTTTCTGGTGTCGGCATGTTATTATTTATACTTAATGAACCACGGATTCTTTTCTTTATCGCTACCTGTGATTTTATTTTATTTTGCATAAATCTTTATTAAATTTACACATACACTATATAGGACTATAAGGACGTACACACACAAACGCACGCACACATGCGCTCACACTCACACATACATACACACACACACACACACACACACACACACACACACGCACCCAACACACATTACCCCCAAATGAAATAATTTGGGCCGTTAAACAAAAGTAAGAAAAACTAGTCTATAAGAGAGTAATTTACCATCTAGTGTCAAGTCAGTTGTGCGTGTAACAAGATACCTGTTAGTCTGTATCCTTGTGGAAGGTCTTTCGAATACCTATCGTTAATTCTTTATTTCGTAAAAGAATAATTATTTTATTACATATAGTTTGCAATTTAAGAAATAACGTTTTATATTCACAAAGTAATAAGTATGTAATAAATTTGTCATAATTATAGAATGCAATTTTATATAGCATAAGTGTTAAATTGTTTTTTTTTCAATAAATTATTTTTAATAATAAACAAAAAAATGTTTTTTTAATATGTTCGTTATTGTTATTTTTTTACATTTCTTTATTTAAATCTTGAATTCGTCACGAACGTTTGTGACTAAATATGAAAAATCTATATCTTATAGCGATGAATCAACAAATTTTTTTTTAAAAGAAAAAAGTGTTAAGTTCCGAGGTGTTTGAAGAGATATGATTTTCAGAATTCTGGTTTATGCCTCAAAAAATTATTTTATTCTTAAAAAGACTGTGCTTGAAAAAAACTGAACTCGTAATGTGGAAACGGGTATCCATATTTATCGTGCTGCCAATGTTAATCATACAGATAAACAGTATTCAATGGCTGTAAGTACTAAATGTCAATATTATTTTTATAAAACTTAGCAATTTTATTTTATACTTATTTAAGTTGTATTAGATTATAAATAATTTATATATTATTATTATTATTAATAAATCATTTATCTCAATATTTTTGGTAGTATGTATTGTGGTATGTAGTATGTATCACATTTTTTAAAATAGGTATTATCCTAATTTATTTTATGAAATTATTCGTCTGAAGTACTTACCTATATTTTCTAAAAAATTGATTACATTTATATGAAATCATTATTTTTATAAATTGAATTATATAGTCTTATTTTAATTATCATGTAGTTAGTAGATAAACCATAATCAATAAGAAAAATAAATTTAATTTAATATATTTGTAAACAATAAACTCCTGACATTTTAATAAAATCTTGACAACATTTAACGTCTGTCTACAAATATGTGAATTAGTTATATAATATTTAGATGAATTATACACGTAGGTACAAAGTGTCTTGGATAAATTAAAGGTTTTAATTGAGACTTGAATATTTGTTATTTTATGTATTTTGTTGGAACCTGTATGATTTTAATAAAATTGTATATTCTAAATATGAATATTATAATATATTTAAAAAACCTAAATAATACACATGCAATTTAACATGAAAAAAATTATAATTTTGAATGAAAATGTTCGGTGTTTTGTATTGTTCATATGTATATAATAATAATACTATATTATTCAATACTTTATTATATTATAATATAATATTTTGTAATAGTTTTTATGTACCTATTACAATTAATGCATATTTCATCAAGCTTTTTTATTCATCCCGTTCGTATTTTTTTTTTAAATATTCTGATTCATGTCAATCTCTCTACGATATGATCTCATTAATCACATCATAAGCTGTTCAATTTCGTAACTTCATTTTCAAACTACGCAGTTTACACCTGTCTGCGTTTAAAAAAGAATTAATCATAAGTATTAAATATGTATTAAATATATATGTCTTAATCTGAACATCTGAAATACATCTTAACCTCGCCAAATAAACAAACGTAATATTATAATGAAAGCCGGTTGCGATTGGATTGGCCGTGATTGAATGGGCGTGAATAAATTACTTTTTATAAACACCGAATTTTCGTCAATGAAACAAAGTTAAATATAGAATTATCTTGAAAAATAACTTATATTAAAAAAAAAAATTGTCTAGTTTTTAAATTTTTATATTGTTATATAAATACGGTTTTAAATATCCATTATATGTATTGGTAAATTTTGTGAAAGTTATGCATTTAAATTTAAAAATAATTGTAATAACTTTTATTTGGGATCGAACCAATAAAATATTTATTAAGGAGTAATAATTCCACCAAAAAATAATAAACAATGCCTAGGTATACTAATGCACGGATATTGGAATAAAATGTAAACGGAATCATCGACCTACGCGTATTTACTTTAAAAAGCAAGAAATAAATTTTGAATATTTTTTCTTCAAAATCACATTTTTAATGAATGAACCACGAATAACGATTAGTTTATTTTTCTGTTAACAGCCCATGCGTAGGTATTGAATACACTACTGCTATTAATATTTGTCATCGTTAAAAGTTATATTTTGTTATAATATTATATTCACTTTTAGTTTCAATATACATACAACGCAATAGCATTATTAATTTAAATTTATTTACATTTCAAATGCTGTATACTAGGTGCAGTAATACTAATAAGTACTGTTTCTTTTAAAAATTGGTTTATCAAACTATATAGTGCCTATATTATATAGTGTAATAATTACATAGTAGTCAGCTGATAATAACTGTACTAATTTTTAGTTAAGCATCTACAAAACCTTTACGGCCAGGTACTACTTACCTGGAATGATAATAATTGATTTGGGATGATTTAAATATTACTTTAAACCTTTGAGATTTAACAACCGAGACAATTTTTATTTTTATTGACGCACGTTGACAGGTACAAACCACGCAATGAAATGCTATGGGCATTCAATGTATTCTTTTATTTAGCAGCTATATTAATATCAATATTTTTGCACTAAAATATTATAATAAAAAATGTCGTTGCCTAGTGCCTACTGAATTACAATACATAATTATACAAAATAAACAGGGTCAACGTGTTTTCCCGAGTCTCTATTATAGCTGTAATATGAAAAATCAGCTAAATACTTAAATTATATTTAATTAAAATGTCCATAAATTTATACCTAATTGGTATGTTATATTTTAAAAATGTTTTAACATCAACATATCTAGTATGATAGTTTTAATACAATGATCTAAACAACTTTATCAATTTCACCCACGATTTTTATTTATATAGTTACGTGGGATAATCATCTTGACTTAATATGTTACGTATACCTATTTAAATACATAAATTCATTACCTATCTATTTAAGAGGACGTCGTACCCGCTACTTGTGTTGTCTCCGTCTTACTCATAAGTCATAACACTGACAATTTTACGTTCAGAAGAATCCGTTCTACTCTGTTATTACCTCTTTTTTAATATTAGATTAAACTAATCAATTATAAAATTTGAAGATATGCACATTATCTAGACCTGCAAGTAATGTTATTGATTTTGTGATTTTAGAATGTTGAGTTACGAACATTTTAAAATTAAAACTGTACCTATATGTATTAAAATAACAGTGTTAAATGGATTCTATTGAACGTACAATTTGCTATGTTAACATGTTTTATGTTTGTTAGAAAAACGAGCCCGAAGTATTCTTAAAAAGTGTGATCGTTTATCCCGTTAAAAAGTGATATACATTTATCTTATTTATTAGCAACTTTCTACATATAAAATCTGAATAGCTTACACGTATTTTATAATATTTTTTATACCCCACTTTTTGTAATATTGAACTATTATGTTTTTTTTTTTATTTTTTAAATTTAAAATATTATTTTATTCACTTAATTATTAATGTATAGTGTATACCTACATATATTTCGATACATTTTATTACGTTGACAACTGTTAAGTCAAATAAAAGAAATTATTAAAAAAAATTTAATATTTGTTGATGCAAATCCATAGGCGGAGCTACGGGTGTGTCAAGTATTCGTCTGGGCACACCCTAAATGCAAAAAAAAACATAAATATGATTCGCTTACACACGTATTTCATAGTAATATTTGTAATTACTAATTAGTAAAAATAGTTAGTACCGATACACTAGCTATGCCTGGCCATCCAATTTTGATCGAGCGGAGGAGGAAATTAAAGGTTTAGTTGAATCTAAATTATTCTTTGGCTCTGTAATACATGCACAGTAATTTGTGGGTACAATTAATTGATGTAAATAGTTATATTTTATGAAGACGTAAACATTACATAAAACTACGTAGGTATTGCTTTCAACACTACGAAGAAAAAATGTAAAAGGAATTTAACTAATTTAAGGGATCGAGGACGAATACCAAATAATCTATTTTTAGATACTTACCCCGCAAATATAAGTGTTCAAATGATTTATAACAATAGCTACCTACCTAACCTATTATTTGTGAGATTTGAATTATTGTTGTCCAAAACTCCGAAACATGAGTAGACACTTTCGTTTTATGAATAAAAAAGCGAATTGAAAAAGATGTATATGTTGATTCGATATAATAACATCATGTTAGTCAAATAAGTGAAATGAGAACAATGAAATAAATAATAAAATATATGATATACATGTAACGAATAGCGATACCATTATAATATCTTCCTGTCATCTCTAGTCAATTGTTCGGTTAACAAATGCATAGATCATCGTATGTGATACGCTGCCGAATACAATGAATACGAAATTCTTACTAATAAATCAAATGTACATACATATTTGAATCAGGAATAGGTGGGTGGTTGGGGGGGTTCAATCCCCCCTCCCAAAATATGTTTAGACATAGTCGTGGAAGATTAATTTTAATTATTTTTTACTATGGCTATGTTTATAATTTATTACATATATGTATGCAATTTTTTTTACCAATATTTATTCAAGATGAACAATAAAAATGTTTAATTTTTTTATTTATGACTCCCCTCTGCAGACTTTTTTTTCTGTATACGTGCCAAATTTTAACTTGTACTAAAACATTATCAAATATCAGTATAGGTAGACATATACGAATCATGTAGACAACAACGATGAATTGACTTACTAACCTAATTAAACTAAAAAAAAGTTGTATTTGATTTTGTGTTGTCATTTTATGTACACGTGAACTTAAATCTGTTAAATGAACCGTATTACGGATAACTATATTATGTGAACAGTGAATGTTAAAGATAATTGATAATAATTCAAAAAATGTCGCATAGATTTCTTCGAACTTATATCTGAAACAAAATTAAAAATAATATTAATAAAATGTTTACGTATTAGGTTCCCTATATTTTAATTCACCTACTTTGAACTGTAACTACTTTATCTATGTTTTTCTTCAGGTGAAAAATCATTTTGAAAATACACAAACGCCATACTAGAATGTATAGGTAGGTATAGTAGGTACTAGGTATATCAAATAAGTACCTATTACCCAATTTTCGATGTAAAAAATATGAAACTACAATATGTATAACGATTAGCATTAAGTACCATTCTTTACTTAAGCTCGCATAAAGCCAAACCATTTTTTTAATTGCAAGAAGACTTGGCATGGTGTTTAATTTTTTTACTCTTATGATTATTTCCACTATTTCATCGCATATCATTATTTGCAATAGGTATTTATACCTTTCTGGTTATTAATTTACCTAATCATGAAAAGCAGACTTTATTACTTATAGTTAAGCTCTTAAATATATCAACCAGATTTAAATCTGAATTATTATATAATTACCTACATTACCACATATTAAAATATCAATAACTATTTACTTTTTTACTATAATAATATGAATATCGTATAGATATAGCGATATATTTTCTCAGATCTTATTCTACCTATACATAGTTAATTAATTTTAATATTTTTTTTCAATT